CATCGGCGCAAAACAACCAAGGCTCCCACCTCCAGGTCATCCTTGCTGGCAAGCAAATCCCAGATAAATCCACCATTCGAATATTAGGCATGTGGGTACAGTCGAACCGCCATGTGAATCACACACTTTCCCTTCTCCGCACCACTACACTGCAAGTGGCCCGAACGATATCTCGGGTAGCCACTCGTCGCCATGGAATGCGCGAGGAGGACACCCTGAAACTCATAGGTGGCCTCGTGCTCAGTAGGGTGACATACAGTTTGCCCTACCAACGCCTCACCAAAAGCGAACAGGGCCAAATAGACGCAATGCTCCGCAAGGCCTACAATGCGGCACTCAAGCTACCACCGGGTACTCCTTCCAGCAAGCTCCTCGCATTGGGCCTACACAACACCTTTGAAGAACTTTGTGAAGCGCAACTCGCCACACAACTGAAACGGCTCACGCAAACACCTACAGGCCGTGACCTGCTCCTACGCCTTGGCTACATCAGCCAGTTTCACGACGCAGCTCGTCGCAAGCCCATTCTGGACCAACTTCGTGCCACTTATAAGATCACTCCCATCCCCCGCAATATGGATCCCCGAATACATCAGGGCTGGAGGGAAGCCAGAGTGGAAGCCCTCGTGCGAACTTATGCACACAAGAACACTACGTACTATGTTGACGCCGCCAACTACGACCATGCAAACAATAAGGCTGTAGCCACAGTCGTGGACCACACACTCACAGAACGTACCAGCGCTTCCGTGCGGTGCGACATCATCATCGATACTGAAGAAACTGCCATCGCGCTCGCTCTCACCCTCGGCTACAGACAACGAAGGTCACTGACAGTTCTCACGGACTCTCAAGCAGCTTGCCGCAACTACCTACAGGGGCGCATCAGCCAACCCGCTCTCAACGTCATCATGAGCGTTACAGACACTGGCGAGCATTCCATTACACATCCACTCAGAATTTGGCATCGGATTATATGGACTCCGGGCCACATGGGACTGGAGGGGAATCAGGCAGCGGATAGGGTAGCTCGAGGGTATGCGAGCCGAGCACCTTCCAACTTCGCCCCTGAGGAACTCGTTCCGGTCCCTTGCGACTATTCGGCCATCCTAAACCATTACAGAGGACTTAGGAAAGCTTATTCGCTACCACACCGAACACTAAATAAAGAGGAATCGGTCAGCTGGAGGCAAATTCAAACCGGCACGTTTCCAAATTTGCACATCCTGAGTAAAATGCACCCCTTGGCATACTCTCCTCTCTGCCCATGGTGTTCAGCTAAAGCCACTCTGTACAACGTCACGCGGGAGTGTCAGGCCATTACAACCTTACAACCAGTACAAAATCCAACAGCGGAGCGATGGGAGGAGCTGCTGGCCAGCGAGAACCTGGAAGATCAGTTGAGTCTGATCAACCGGGCCCGCAGAGCGGCTGCTGCAAGCGGAGCCCTGGACTAAGGCCTCCCCCCCCCCCCCCCCACCACAAGCCAAGCATCTCCGACTACTCGGAGCTTATCCGCAGAAAATTTCATGTAAATAAATAAATAAATACGTTTTCACCACCACCGGCGCGCGCCTGCGAGCATATGGTAGGACCAGGGCCCGGTGTGGCAACGCAGGCGTGACCCGACGAAATGAACGCCGGTGAGCACGCGCACCGCGTCACGTTGAAATGTATTGGCGCCTTGACTGTGGCATGTAGTCATGTTCTCACATCACACGCATCGCATGATTATCATGTTTTGCACCAGTCACATACCTTCGTTATTCATTGACGTTACTTAATACCATATTTGGCATATCTAAAGCTAGCGAAATGACAGCAAGCGCATCATGAGTGTGGTGTGTAGTCATGCTCTTACATCACACGCATGTCGTGATTATTATGTTCGGATCCGTCATTTACCTATGTCGTCCATTCGCGTCGCGTAATATCCTGTTTGGTGCATGTGAAGCTATCGAAACAGCCATGAGCGCATCATGAGCGTAGCATGTAGTCATGGTTAGATGACACGCATGTGATGTTTATAATGTTTGCACCAGTATCATACCTTTGTCATCCATTCACGTCCCGTAATACCAAATTTCGTATAAGCGAAGCTAACGAAATGGCCGCCAGTGCATCCATCATGAACGCGGCATATAGTCATGTTGTTACATGACACGCATCTCATGATTATCTTGTTTGCACCATTCACATACCGTCATAATTCATTCACGTACCGTAATACCAAATTTGGTATATGTGACGCTAGCGAAGCGCTCGCGAGTGTATCATGAGCTTGGCATGTAGTCATGTTGTAACAGGACACGAATGTCATGATTTTCATGCTAGGGTCTGTCGCTTGTGTTCGTCATGCAATCAGGCCATACCATACCAGTTTTGAAAAATGCCATGTGAGCGAGACCACTGCAAGAGCTGCAGGATCATAAAATGTATGTCATGACATTTATGACAAACGTGTCATGATTTTCATGTTATGACTAGTAAAATATGTTCTTCATACAGTCATGTAAGGCCATACCAAGTTTGGTATTGATACCATTATCGAAACGGCCAGGAGAGCTAAAGTCGTAGGCGGCTAGATAGATAGATAGATAGATAGATAGATAGATAGATAGATAGATAGATAGATAGATAGATAGATAGATAGATAGATAGATAGATAGATAGATAGATAGATAGATAGATAGATAGATAGATAGATAGATAGATAGATAGATAGATAGATAGATAGATGTTAAAAGTGCGTACAGTAGGCAAAAAGTGCTTCGCTCTTAAAAAAACATGAAAAGGCAGAGGCATGAGCATGCGAATGATGTTTATCTGGTAGCTCTTTTTCCTGGAGTAAATGGGATTTCAGTGAGAATTGCCTGGAACCTCACCATCACCTGACCTTAGAGTGAAGGGCTCACTTCGAGGATGGCAGAGGTGGGCATCCAAGGAAATACGAATCTTGCTGAGCATGAAGTAGCGGAGGACAACTTTTCAAATATAAAACAGGGAAGTTCCACTCAGAGTAACTTGTGCTTTCAAACCTGCAAGCGCGCAAGTACATTTAATGAAGAAGGATTGCCTCTTAACTGCTCCATCGAAGGATCATTCAACGTTGTTTTCGGATTATAAGGTGAACGTGATTAAGAAAGTTTGAAGTGATGGCCGCCAATACTTGTGTACTACTCGGATATGATAACAGGAGCCACGTACGTCGCCCATGACCAACTTAATGACTGCCTTTTAGAGATAGTCTTGGACTTTGCGAGATAGCCCAGAAGCTAGTGCTCTGGCAGAGCAGTATTATAGGACAGAAGCACCGAAGGAGAGGTTGATTTTCGTTGCTTTCAAACGAACAGGGTGATCACAATATTGACCTAATGAATAGTTTAGTCTCAACGAAAAAAACGAAAAACTTGTTTTCGACATCACTAGAAGCCAAGTATGCACAAAAAAAGAAATATCCGCATTTTGAACACGAAGCTTCGGGCCAAAAGGCTGTCAGGGAGAACCATATCTGACGCTAGCAGGCCGAGCGAGAGAAACACGTCCGGGAGGCAGAGTTTATGTTAGCGTAGCAGTAGATAATCTTCACTAATTGAACTTGCAGCTTCGAATAGTCGTGTTAGATGCCCGAAATACTGCAAATGATCACTGCTCATAGGCACTAAAACTTTTGCATAGCAAACTGAGTTGAAGTACCAGAAAAGTTATGAATTATGTTTATGACATAGCCGGCTAAATGTGCCAGGAACAATAAGAGAAGTGGTATTAGGCTACTCTTTCCTATGACCTCTTCGCTGGCGAAAGATTTATTGCAGAATGTGAGGAGAATCCCCTCCAGCGATTCTGAGCACTAATAAGCACGATAGTTTTTATTCTTTTGGAAGGCTATTTTTACCTAAGAATCAAGATGCTGCAGGCGCCAAGAACTTATTAGGCCAGGCTGACCATGTTGAGAACATTTTCTGAGAAACTTGTAACGTTTGCTTACTCTTTTGTTGTTTGTCTTAGGTTCCTGTTTGTAATTAAGTGAAAAACATAAGGAACCTTGCCTCATAACTTTTTTCACGTTGCTCTCAGCGACGCGGAGAGCCCTGTTCTGTCTCTCTATTCCCGTGAATTCCATCATACCATGAAGAAGGATGTGTAGAACAGGTGCATCTGACCAGTATTTACCTGTGGAGCAGAGCCCGATGGGCTTATAAAATGGGTTCTATCGAAATTGAGGACTACACAATAAGCAATGGGAATGAAACTGGTACGAGTAACTCTAAAAGACAGGAAGATAGCTATATTGACCCGCGAGGGGCATCATTGACATCGTTGTTGAAGTCAAGAAGACTTGGTAATGTACAGTGATTGTAGCGCGTGGGCAGGTGAAGCACCTGCCAATAATGGTAAGCGATTAGTATCGAAGAAAAGGGAATCGCGTGAGAGAGAAACAACTTATTTGGTAAGCAAATAAGTCTAAGCACCGTTGCTGCAGCAAGCACCAGACCGCGTTGGCGGTACAGCTGCCTTCGCTTTTCTGCGAGCGTTGCCTGGCTGATTATGATAGTGTGATGACTTTTTCCATAATTATTTTTGGTTTAACAAACATAACACTAGTGTTAAATTATTCGCTTTTCTGTGCAGGAGTTTCTTTATTAGTAATGGTTTCTGTACAAATTATACCAGGGGCTGTTAGTTTTGGGATCTTGACATTTGGTCAAGTCGTTTTGTAATAATACGAGAAATTAAATATGTTTAGCGGTATTTCTTATTTCATGGAGAAGCATGGAGAGGTTGGCAATCAAATATAGTCTTCATCAAATCTTGTCATTTGGACAGGCATGCATGCGCAGTCTATGGTACCAATTTGTTGTAGTGACAGGGTCAACACACTTATTCCTTTGTAATTGGTTTGTCGGACTAGTTAATTATATACTGGCTTATGGACATAGCAAAATGTTGTATATAAAGGTGGGTATTAAGTGACTGTTTCAATTAACCCACAACGCAACGACTGCTACCTGCTTGGTGCTCCGCGAGTTTAACGGTAACAGTGCTCTTGAAGTGTACAGTTCGGCAGAATCCCACCTTGTCGGGCAAGGGCATCAACAGAGAAAACACAGCGACCGCCAAAGTTAAAGTGTAATCCTCAATATATTACTTTAAGTATATATTTTGACTTTGTTAAGCGCTGTTGTTTCTTCGTCCATATGAGGGCTCTCACGATTCATCCTGTTTACTAGTTCTTGTTTCGCGTCAATAGAACACTCTCAATTCTTGTCTACTATTCGTCGGCTCTATGCAAAGACAAGCTGATGAGAGGAAGAATTGATGAAAGCATCACTACATGATAACCTATCTTCGTTTTTTTTATTTCTGCTGCATTGCTAATGCTCCCTGCTGATCGTAATGATTTGCAGTATCTTTCTTGAGGTTACGTGTGTTCTCCTCATTGAAGTGCACCATGTTCTTCGTTCATGAAAAAAAAATATTTTACCCTTAAACAAACAATAACGTAAAAAGTTTGTAATGTAAAAACTATTTATATCCTTTTAGTAGAGGTGTAAGCTCATTTTTTATTGGATGACCACGTTGTGTAAATAGCGTCGCAATGTGCACATAAATTATTATTTTCAGAATCCTTTATTTTGTTTTTAAACTATGCAGTGTGCTGACTCTGTGAGCAATTTAAAGTAAAGTATACCTTCCGTAAAGTAAACACCAATTTTTAAGACATTCATACATAGCATTATATCAGAGCTCAAAACTGCACGCATAAAAAATTGTAACAAAACTTATGAAAACATATTTGGCAGAGATATTGCAGTAAATATAATGTGCATCAAACTTCCACAAACGTCCTTACTTTATACATAAACCAAATTTGGTAAGGCAGCATTGTAAATAAAACCTCTATTTTTTCGGAGTATTTGAACAACTCGCTGTTGCCTACGCAGTAAATCAGCACAATATTTTCAGAAACTTTTTCGATATGGTTGCCACCACGACGGGGACGTTTGGCGTGGAATACGCCACTGACTTGTCTAATGTTACTACTTTACTACTTTTATGGTGATATTTTTATGGAAAGTATTGTGTAATGTTAATCATTTTTATGGCATTACCACTGCAAACAAAAGAAATTATACTTCCTGGCTCTAAGAAAAAAAAATTGGAATTGTGATCGAAGTCCTGATACGTTACACGAAATGCACGCATATCTACAGTTTATATCATGTCGAGTGGGCGTAGCGTTGGAGAGTTAAACCCACCTAATCGCACATGTCAATGGATGAAAACGCATGCGTTCAGAATGCAGTACTGCTCGGGCACGGCCTGAGTCCAGCAATCTTGAAATTGTAACCGCCTGAACTCTGCCCAGCGACTCAGATGGGAAACCAGGGCCCGACGAGAACCCCGAAAAAAAGTTTCACCTGGTCGGATGGATGGATGGATGGATGGATGTATGGATGCATGGGTGGATGGACGGACGGACGGGCGGCCGGATGGATGGATGGATGCGTGGGTGGGCGGGTGGATGGATGGATGGATGGATGGATGGATGGATCCGGATGTGTCCTTTAGAAAGGGCGGTGGCTCACGCCACATAGCCATAATGTTAAGTACTATCATTATGTGTTTAAAGATTGAATTTCGCTCGCGCCGTGGTTGTAGCGACCAATCAGTTGGTCTCCTCCTGGTTCTTTCTACCCGTTTAAAGTATATTTTGCCTTCACTGTCCCTAAACCCCAATGCTTTGAGAAATTTCGTGCCATTACATTGGACTATAGGGCGAAGCCCTTTACAGAACATCATCAAGTGTTCAGCCGTTTTCTCCTCATATACACATAAACTGCATAACGTGTCTGTGCCTTCGTGTTTGGCTCGGTATGTCTTGGTATTTGGCTCGGTATGTCTTGGTCCGCAATACTTCCGTCCTGTCCTCACACAGCAGAAAACTACCTCGAGAATTATCGTAGATCTTCTCTTTTGTAATTTCCTGCTTCAAAGTTCGGTAGGTCTCCAGTGATGAGTTCGTATGCATTGCCATCTTCCACATGTCCCTCCCTGTTTCCTCCACCTTCTTTTTAACTGATGTTTCCTTTTGTCGTAGTATTCTGTTGTTGCCTAAATAATTGCGTGACAATTTTCGAGTTCACTTCTTCCATTTAGTATCAACATTTTTATTGTACAAGTAGCTGAAAGCTTTCCTAGCCGAACGTTCCTCTCCTATTTTTTCTCAATCGCACCTCAAATTCTATCTTGCTGCTAACTTCCCTGCACTCAAACGATGTCCATCCGATGTCATCCCGTACCCCGTGATTTGGGGTATTCCTGTGTGCTCCCAAAGGAAGTCTACCTCTGCCACTTGTTTAATTTCCAATCTTGCTTTAACCTCTGATTTCGTGCACAAGACCACATTGCTGAACGTTCAACCCGATGCCATGGCACCTTTACAAATCCCTCTCACAACGTATTACCTAATGTAGTTCCGCAGTGCCCTATTTTTCATTACAGCTGCATTCCTGTTACCCTTAGTCATTACGTATCTTCCACTCTTCCTTAGGTGCTCAGCCCCGTTACTTATCCATACGTTCAAATAATTGTATTTGCCTACTATTTCTAGCGTGAATTCCTGTGATTTATGCTCACTGCCCTTGTCATCATTAAAAATCATGATTGCCAATTTTTCCCTACTGAACTTCATATTTAACCTATCTCCCTCATTACCACAGTTGTCTATGAATCCCTGCAGATCTTCCTTGTTGTCGGCTATTAATAATATATCATCTGCATAAATCAATGCTGGTAATGACTGTTCAATGTCTTTTCCTTGCTTGGCTAAAGAGAGGCTGAAGCCGAGTCGACTTTCCTCTAATTTGGCTTCTAGTCCTTGTAGGTACAGCCTAAATAACAAAGGTGACAAGGGACATTCCTGTCGAAGCCTCCCTTGTATCTCTAAAGGTTCAAATACTTGTTCTTCTCATTTTACAACTACCTTGTTACTTTTACAGATATACTTTGGAAGATTACCTTTTCCATCTTCCAATCTTCCACATATAGTGTGTCCAGTATTCCCCACAAGTTTTCTTGTATCACGCTATCGTAAGCTCCCTTGATATCCAGAAATTCCAGCCACAGGAGCCTGTGTTCCTTTTCCGCTATTCCAATACACTGCATCAATGAAAACAGATCGTCCTCCTACATCCTTCGTTTACGGAACCCATTCTGTAGTTCTCGCAGCACCCGCTCAATCTCCACCCATGTCTGATTTTTTTCTTTTATTATCTGCATCACCACCCTGTAAGCTACTGATGTCGCTGTTATAGCACGGTAATTGTTTATATGAGCTTTGTTCCCCTTTCCGTTATAGATCATGCTCATCCTGCTTAGTTTCCACCCATTGGGAGCTTCACCCTCCATTATTGCTTTGCTCGCTGCCTCTCTTAACGTTTGCTTAGAGTTTGGTCCTAGTTTCTTTATGAGCATGATCGGGATGCCGTCAGGGCCTATTGATGTGCTATTAGGGAACCATTTTCTCTGCCCTTTCCCCCTCTTGTTGTCCCAGTGGAGTCACTGAGCTAATTGGTCCATCCTCATCTGGTACGGTGCATGCAGCGTTTTGTTGGTGTTTAAATTTTTCTGTCATCATTGATTTTATATATTCCATTCTCTCATCTTTTTTTAGCCTAACCATTTGAACGGTAGTTATAAACCTCTGTCCCATGCTTGTCATATTACTCAGAGAATTGAGATGGTTCCAAAACTTTGCAGCTGCCTTTCTATCCTTTTTGTTTACTTTCGCCATTCATTGGGCCCCCTTTCTTCTGATCTTTTCACTGATCAGATCGGACACTTCTCTTCTGCAGCTGAAAAAGTTTTCCCACTTTCTTTTCACATCATATTGTCACGGGGTCGTGACGTGGCCGAAGACAGGAGACTTCGTGTTGGGATGTAACTGTTTATTTGGGCGAACCTGTGCCCGGTAAAAGGAAAGTCCAATTACAGCAGCAGTCTCGCACAGATAGCAGTCTCGGACTGATAGCGGCGAACGGAGCGTCAGCCTTCGATCAACAACTGACACGCGGCGAAGCGCGTCGGCATTTATACACTTGCCGTCGAATGTTCTAGCGTTATCGCTGGCGGTGGCGTACGTTCCAGAACAATCTGTACCGTTCGCGCAGTGGGCGTGATCTTATTGAAATGATTTACTACAGTCCGGAACCTTCTCGAAAACTGCAGGCGTGGTTTGCGCTAAGAATCGTGTGGTGTTTTGGGACGATAACAAAAACTTGAGAAATGGAACGTGGCATTGCCCCCCTCTGAAAAAAGGCATCATCCCGATGCTTTAACTAAAAATGAAGGTACAACAATAATGCAAGAAAGAACAATGAATAAATTACGATACAACAATAATACAAAAAAACACTGTTTCAGTTTGTTAACGCGCATGAAACGGCTTGAGGCGCGCGACATGGACGACTTCAGGTCGCGATCGGCGTCGTTGAGAGTTCGTGATGCCGTCGGGGACAACCTCGCAATCAAGTGGGCCGAGACGTCGAACCACCCTGTACGGTCTGAAGTACCGTCGCAGAAGCTTTTCACTTAGTCCACGTCGGCGTATCGGCGTCCACACCCAAACACGTTCACCGGGCTGGTATTCCACGAAGCGTCGTCGAACATTGTAACGGTGGCTGTCGGTCGTCTGTTGATTCTTGATACGGAGACGCGCAAGTTGTCGGGCTTCTTCAGCGCGTTGAAGGTACTCGCTCACATCGAGGTTTTCTTCGTCGGTGACGTTGGGTAACATGGCATCGAGAGTCGTTGCTGGGCTCCTTCCGTAGACCAATTTGTATGGAGATATCTGCGTCGTCTCCTGCACCGCCGTGTTGTATGCGAAGGTCACATACGGAAGAATGGCGTCCCACGTCTTGTGTTCGACATCGACGTACATTGACAGCATGTCGGCGATCATCTTGTTAAGCCGCTCGGTGAGGCCGTTGGTCTGTGGGTGGTACGCTGTCGTCCGGCGGTGGTTTGTTTGGCTGTATGCCAAGATCGCTTGAGTTAAGTCGGCAGTGAATGCCGTTGCTCTGTCGGTGATAAGGACCTCCGGGGCGCCGTGACGTAGGCCGATATTT